TGGTTTAGGTTGAGACTTTGCTCTTGTTGTTCTCTAATTCTCATGTTTAGGGATAATAGCATCCTGTTTATTTGTACTTTTTGCCTAGTTCCAGCATTATGTGTAGATGATTATTAACTTCTACACGGAAATGGAGGCGTTATTTGGGTATTAAATTTTGTAACATCGCTTAGGTTTTGGAGATATGGCCTGATTGTTGCAAAATCAATGAAATAAAACACAAGTTAGTATTTTTACTTTGTGAAGTTGGTGAGTTTTATTTTTCTGAGCCTAGTCAAAGTCTCCATAAATGCACTTCCCTTTGTTATCCTAAAGTATAACATACTGACTTATTTAGAGATAGATGTGCTTTTAAAAGTTTGTTTGTATTGCTTTTGATTCATGTTCAATATCAAATGCATTTTGGCCTCACTTTTATATTTAAAATAAGTACACATGTGTTTCAAACTAGTAAAGCAGTTTTTACTTTTACAAATTCTCCAAGGATTTAAAATGAAATTAAAGTAACTAAAATATATGAGATATCACATATCACTTAAATCATTTATTGTGCTCTTGATTTTTGCTCAAAGAGGAAGAGAGATGCAACTGGGCTATATTTAACTATAGACAGCTTGGAAGTAGACTTTTCATTTTGAAGGAAGTTTCTGCAATTCTTATTTGTGATTCTAAAATATGCTTAGAGAAAGAAAGTTAAAAGATGCAGGGGGTGACTTCAATAATATGAATCAAATTACATTTGACTTGCCAGACTTTTGAATTGACAGAAACTTTCTCTCTGTTAAATTGTTTGCTGGCAGAAAGAGACAGAATAAAGAAGAAAAACCCTTAAACATGTCAAAACAAAGCCAAATGCAAACAAAACCTTTCTTATAGAGCAACCCAGTGAATTGAGAATATGGTTGTTACTGTTGTAAGAGGATATGCTTGCATCTATCTGTTAGCATCAAGTGCAGGAATATAATTGAAGAACTTTAGAGGAACTGTGCCTGGACTTCTGGCCCACCTTGGGAATGTCTGTTGAATCTTGGAGCCCCAATGTTGCAGGATTATTGTTAGAATAAGGAGTACCTGCGTAGCTCTTTATCAGGAGTCCAGCAAGAATGACAACCTCCTACTGCTAGGACACAGCAAAGCATCCTTCCTTTGGCCTCTTCCCTATAAAATCATATGTGCAATGAAGTCTTATGTCTGATTTATGAAATGAAATGAAAATTCTGAGTAGTTGCACATTCACTATTGGACATCCACATTGATCCTAACTAACTTACTCCAGCCTACAGAATGCCATATAGTTCATTTTCTTAGGATTTTTTTCAGTTGGTCAGGATTGTTTACAAAATGATTGTCATTTGGATAAAGCTTGATTAAAAATTAATACACTATTTTGATCTGCCAGCATTTGAATTGACTATTGAGATTTTTTTTTTTTTTTTCAGAAAGCAAAGGTATCAAGCAAGAACCACCACTGGAAATCAAGTATAGATGAGTGTTTAGAAAATGCCCAATAGTCTATGCTTAGGAATGATCAAAACATCTCATTTTCACAACTCAAGTGATTGTTAGATCCACACTTCCTTTTAGTGAATTGGGGTCTCTTGTTCAATATGCTCACCTGATGTTGTGTGATTGGACAGGAAATTCAAACCTCTTTCTTGGCTGCTTTGCTTGTGAAGCTCTACCCTTGAATTTGTTTTCCTGCTGTTTTGACTTATACCTTAGACTTCTCCGATGGCCTTCTTTCATCACCCAGATGATGCAGCTCTTTCCCAGAGCATGCAGGAATTTTTCCTTTCTTAGAAACTATTCAAGTTCTACTTATGCATTTATTTGTATTTTGAAAATGTTATGTTCATTGTTTTTCTTTTAGTTTCTGATCTATAAAAGAGACTCAATAAATATTGGATAAAGAAATAGAAAGGCTGGATATTTATGTATTTTTTTCACTGTTTAATATGTATAAAATTAAAGATCACTAAATCAAGACTTATTTCAGTGCTTACTCTGATAAGTATATACTTTTACATTAAAATGTTCAGATAAGATTTTTCAATAATTTCTATTTAAACATCTGAAATTCATAAAACAGTAGAATACACTATTAGTTAAAATTATAGAGTTAGATTTAAAATATTTTAGGATTTTCTCTTAGTCATTAGAAGAAAATTAGTGGGATGCCATTTCATTTTAATAAAATTCTTGGAATTTTCAAAAATAAACTATGAAAGCATAAAATAGTATCTATTTTTTTTTTCATTATTTTAACTTGCTTTCAGATGAATGCCCTTAAGATAATGGATTTTTCATGTGATTCTTGGAACATAATATGACAGATAATTTTACAAAATGAAAATTAAATAAAACTCCTATACTTTCTATGATGTTCTTATTTTCACAGGACCTTTAACTTTTATATGTGTCATGAACAGATATTAAATGATTGGCACATCTATTAAGATTTATTAAAATCTAAAACTAGCTGCGAGGGCAGGGCCGCCCGGAGCAGCTGCGCATGCGCGGCAGGGAGCGGCCACGCGAGCACCCTCCGGGTGCGGCCGTCGGGGCACTTTCCCTAGGGATCCCGAGGCCGTGCCGGCCTCAGTCTCTGGTACAGGCGCCCCCTGGGAGTTTCTGGTTGGAGACTGGTCGCTTTGTCCTCGGGTCCCCGGCCCCCTTCCACAGCCGCCGAGCTGCGAGGGGACGGCGCTGGCTCCTGGGAGCCGCTCCACAGTGGCGTCGTGGCGGGGCCGGGCCGCCGCCCCCAGGGCGGTCTCGCCGGGTCAGCTGTGTCCACGCGGCTCCGTGTCCACGCAGCTCCGCGGGCTTTTCTGTAATCGCGGCTGAGTGCCGGGGTTCAGCTTCCTTCGCCTCGCCCGAGGGAGGAGTGGCCCCCACGGGAAGGCGGTGCCCAGGGCTGGGCCGCGCCTCGCTGCTCCGCCCTCTGCCTCCGCCCTCCGCCTTCTCTCCTCTCTGCCTCCGCCCTCTGCCTCCGCCGGCCTGAGGTTCTGGGCAGGTTCTGCAGCACTCTTCCCTACTGAGCTATCCCCGCTTCCAGTTATGGGTCTTTGGGGTTTCTGTCTTCATGGTTCAGTTTTTGCAGGTTCCAGATGTCCGGAAACTTAGCCCCTTCTTCGAGGCCCTCTGATGTGTTGACACACACTTGCTCATAATAGTCCCTAAGATCCTTTATCACTGGTACCACTTGAAAAATCTCTTTTCCTTTATGATTTTGCCTGTTCAGGCCCGTTTTCTTCCTGTTTATCCTGTCTAAAGATTCATCAGCTTTGTTTATTTTTCTAAAACCAACTCTTGGTTTCACTTACGTTTTGTGCTTCCTTTTCTTTCCCTTTTTCCTTCAGTCTCTTTCATTTATTTGTGTTCTGATCATTATTATTTTTTTCCTTCGACTCATTTTGAGTTCGGTTTGTTACTGCTTTTGTAGTTCTGTAAGTTATGTTGTTGTTTATTTGTAATCTTTCTCTTTCTTTGCTGTAGTTGCTAATAGCTATAAACCTCCATCTTAATATGGCTTTTGGTGTATCTGATAGGTTTGGGTATTTGATTTTTCCATTTTCATTAGTTTCAAGAAATTTTTGAATTTATATTTTGATTTATTTATTGACTCATTGGTAAGTTAGGAGCTTGTTTATTTCATATATATATATATATATATATATATACACACACACACACACACACACACACACAATATTTAAATTTTACTATTGACTTCTAGTTTTATTCCATTGTGGCCACAGAACACATGCAATGTTTTGATTTGTTGTGAACTTTGATTTGTTGTGAGACCGTTTTTTTTTTTGGGGGGGAGGGGGTCTATCCTGGAGCATGTTCCTTGTGCTGATTAGAAGAATATCAATTCTGGAGCTGCTGGATGCAGTGTTCTGTTAGGCCCATTTGGTGAATAGTGTCACTTAACTCTGATGTTTGTTAATTTTTTTAACTTAACCCTCTTATTTGTTGATTTTTTTTTTTTTTTTGTCTAGGTGTGTCTGTTGATGTGGGAGGGGTATTAAAATCCCCAAATATCATTATATTTTAGTCTACCTTTCCCTTTACGTATAATTGCATTTGCTTTATTTAATTCTGTTATTGGGTACACATATGTTTCTAATTATTATTTCCTCTTATTGAATTGATCCCTTTGTCATCATTATGTAGTGCTCTTGTTTTCTTTTACAGTTTTTGACTTAAAGTCTATTTTATCTGCTGTAAATACAGCTACTCTTCCTTGCTTGTGATTTGCCTTTGTATGGAGACTCTTTTCCCAACCTTTTACTTTTAGTCCATGAGTGGCTCTTCTGGTAGACTTTCTTATGGGAATGTATAGTTGATTCTTTTAAAAATCCATTTGGCTGATCTATACCTTTCGACATTTGAGGTAACTAAGCAAATGTTTACCACTTTCTAACCATTTTAATTGTTTTGCATTATTTTGTATATTCTCTTTCCTTTCCATCTTATTATTTATTTTTGCAGCTTTGTAGTTTTCTTCAGTGATATGGTTGGATTCTTCTCCTTCTTTTGTATCCACTTTGCCAATGAGTATTTTTAAATATGATTTTATGATGGTAGTTATCATCCTTTCATTTCCAGATGTTGAACTTTAAGCATTTCTTATAGGGCCTGCCCAGTGATGATGAATTCCATCATTGGGAATGGGAATTTCGGGCAAAAAGTCAACGGTTTTTGTTTTTCCCTTGATACGTTTAATAGACAAATAAGGTCCAAAGTTAGTAACATGAGACAAGATGATAGGAATGTTTACATAGGGCCTTAGTCCAGGACTTTTGTATTTTTCTCAAGTTTTCAAACAAGTAGAATTTTCTTTTTAAAGTTCCTTAAATGGACATGTCCTGAACATTTTGTGTGTGTGTGTGTGTGTGATGGACATTGCTGCCCATCACATGCTGCTTCTTTGTGCTCTGTCTTTTGACAATTACATGTGTCACATGCTGCTTCTTTGTGTTCTCTGTGTTTAGCTAGAGAGAAAACAGGCTGAAAATACATTGGAATGGGACAAGAGAGAGTTGCTGGAAACTGAAAAACAAGGATTGGAGAGAGAAAATAGAAGGCTAAAGGTCCAGGTGAAAGAAATGGAAGAGCTCCTGGACAGGAAAAGCAGATTAAGTGACAACTTTCAAGGTCCTGATTTCAAGACATCCTACAGTGAACTACAGGAAAAGAACAAGGTAGGAGCTCCGGGAAGCACCTATTCCCTCACCCTGTGCTCCCCTCTGACGCCTGGGCACGTGCTGCCGTCACCAGTCCTCGCTAAGTCTTAACTTCCCATTTTGCCCTCTAATAAATGATAGCTTGAACTTTTCCTCATTTTGATAGATAGCAGTAATATTCAGATGAAACATTGTGATGAATTTTGGATGAAGATGTTAAGAAATAACAAGTCTCTGAACAATTCCAAGAGTTTCCAAACAAAAGAAAAAATTGAAAGGAATTTTTTGTTTTACTTTTTCTAGTTATAGCTATGTAATTGGATTTCCTAAGCTATTGATCTTATTATCAATTAATATGCTTCTCCTTTAATTTGGAGCAACTATATAATAAGCATTTGTTGGTAGTTATTGAAAGTACTTACATAAACTTTTAAATTTATCTAAGGCTAACTCTTCTCTCTTTTTTTCTTATAATACTCAAAACCATGATTTTCGAATCAATGAAATGCATCATTTTGCCAATAATTTTTACAGGCAGTAACATAAATGTGAAAACAAAGATTAAATTCAAAATTTGACTTAGAAAAACTTGGAAGGTTTTGAATGTGTTTTTAATCTTCAAAGTGATAGGCATATTTAGTGCTGCAGATGACAATTTCCTTCTTTTTGATAAATAATTTACAGATGTTTAAATGTACTTTTAGTGACAGAACTATAGTTAAAAATCTGTGTCATTGACTATCAGTTTGCTACCAAATACATGCTACATTTTTTTCCTAATAAAACATCTATAGAATGTTAATGTTCAAATCTATTTTTCACTCAATATTTTTAACAGTTTGAAAAGTGAATGTATAAGTTCATGTTTTTGACTTATATAACGAATTCATACTCATACAAACTCTAAGAGCAAAGTGGCCAGAAAAATTTAATTTGATGTAACTGTTCAGTTCTTTTATGATTTTAGGGATATATTGCAAATATAGTATTAAATTGCATTGGTATTTCATGACTTGACAATACAAATTTTTAAAGCCAAATGTCGTAGTCAGTAATCATTAGTTTGTATGGTACAGACTCATGAACCATCATCTTAATGGCATGTGACATTCTGAAATACATATAACTAATAAATCTGTAGAGAATTATTTTGCAGATTTCTACTTCTAAAATCACACAATATTTTATCATTTATAGAATGTGGTTTTGTTATCCAAATTTGTCTTCCTATTTAATTCATTGAAAGAGGACAAGCATTTGTTCATGTTATTTTCTGTGTCATCAACTGCTCTAGAGGGCTAATGGGAAGATGAATGGATCACTGTCCCTCTGCAGCATGAGCTTGGAGTTTACATAGGGACACACACACATAATTGATAATCAATGACTCATTGTGTTTATTGCTAAGAATGAAGTCTGACTGAAACATAGATGAAGAAGAAATTCATTCTATTTAATTGTGTTTAATTGTGACATCTTTCTAGTTATGCAGAAATGTCACAACATGAAACGTGCCAGTTAAGAAATATGAGGGCTAACAGGGACTCTTAGGAGCTGTCATAGGTGACGTGTTCTTTCATAAAGACCCACTATAGCCAGATCTGCACTCTTTGGAACCAATATAGTTCTTTCAAAGCAGGCGGAAGTTGGTGACTGTGAGTATTTTAGAAGACTCAGACCTTCCAAATCAGTGGGTGTGCTCATCATTTAAAAGACTATACAATTGCTTAAGTTTATATTATGGTGATGGTAACAGAGAGTTTTGGTGAATTTACTCTCTTCATTAAGAATTCAGACTTACTGCAGAAGAACCAAAAGAGAAACCAAAAGAATTACTTTTCATGTAGCAGTCGCTGGTCAAAAGCCTTGGTGCCTCATGGAAGTCCAAAATATCAATATTTATATGTCCTGAAATGTTAAATAAATCAGAATTCTCCAAAAACATACCAAATCAATCATGAGTAGGAGCATCAGATCTGTTTCTTCTCTATACATCCCTGTATGTGAGTGTGGACCACATGAGGCCCCTGTGTAGACTCATGTATGTGAGTACCGTGTCTATATGTGTGTATGAGTGTTCTACACAAGTGAGTGCTGGCAGGGGAGGAACACTATAGTAAACATCACACAATTATTGCTCTCTCAAAAATATATGAGGTTTCTTACCACATGACATTTACATCTACTCACACTTGCTGAATGTCTGTGGCTGACTGAAACTGAAACTACTTGCTTCTTATAGAAATCTCCATATCAGGGATGGTGATAGAGTTGGTAGAGTGCTTGCCTCACATGCGCAAGGCCCTGGGTTCAATCCCCAGCACCAAAAAAAAAAAAAAAAAAATCCCGAAATCTTCATATCAATGAATTTTTAAAAATCTTTGAGTTTTATTAATCTTAATGTTCAATAAAATTTTTATATATCCCTAGTAATTCAAAAAGCATATTTCACCCTGGTTTTTTTTTTTTTTTACTTTTTAAATTTAGTTTAGTGTTACAGGAAATGTTTTTAATATGTCAATGTTTTAGAAAACGTACTATTGTTTTAAAAATGCCTCTCAATTTTAAATTGAATTACTAATTAAAAACAAATATTATTCTTCATGTGATATTATCTCTTTAATGTCCATTTGGTAATTGCTTTTATAGACTATATTTGAGTAATTTTCTATTTTTTTCGATTTTCTACAATTTACAAAAAAATAGTGGCACAAAGAACTTTTCATATTGGAAAATCATCATTCTAGCAGTAATTAATTTTAAAGCATAAACCACCACTATATTTTTTTGTAGAAAAATCTCTGCATCTTTTGATTCCTTGTGGGTTTTGGAAATAGTGATACTATTCTGTTGTCAGTGAAAGAAGTAGTAGTGAGGCATCAGAGAACAATGACTCAGACAAGAGAACTTTGGAGGCAGTATTGAATACTCTTCTCAGAATACAGCCCTCATTTTATTTATTTATTTTTTAAAATTTATTTATTTATTCTGATTTGTTATATATGACAGAAGAATACATTTCAATTTATAGTACCCATATAGAGCACAAATTTTCATGTCTCTGGTTGTATACAAAGTAGAGTATCTTTATAAATGTACTTGGGGTAAAGATGTCCACCTCATTCCACCAGGTTTTCTATCCCCCTTCCCCATTTCTTCCCCTCCCTCCCCTTTGCCCTATCTAAAGTTCCTCAGTTCCTCCCATGCTCTCCTCCTCATCCCCATTATGGATTAGCATCCTCATATCAGAGAAAACATTTGGCATTTTTGGGGGGTATTGGCTTACTTCACTTAGTATAATATTCTTCAGCTCCTTCCATTTACATGCAAATGCCATGATTTTATTCTCTTTTAATGCTGAGTAATAGTCCAACATGTATATATACCACATTTCTTTATCTATTCATCTACTGAAGGACATCTAGGTTGGTTCCACAATGTGGCTATTGTGAATTGTGTTGCTATAAACATTGATGTGGCTATATTACTATAGTATGCTGTGTTTAAGTCCTTTGGGTATAAACTGAGGAGTGGGATAGCTGGGTCAAATGGTGGTTCCATTTCCAGTTTTCCAAGGAATCTCCATGCTGCTTTCCATATTGATTGCACCAATTTGCAATCCCACCAGCAATGTGTGAGTCTGCCTTTCTCTCCACATCCACACCAACACTTATTGTTGTTTGTATTCTTAATAGCTGCCTTTCTGACTGGAGTCAGATGAAAAAGTAGTTTTGGTTTGCATTTCTCTAATTGCTAGAGATGTTGAACATTTTTTCATATATTTGTTGACTGATTGTATTTGTTGATTGATTATATATCATCTTCTGAGAAGTATTTGTTCAGTTCCATGGCCCATTTATTGAGTGGGTTATTTATATTTTTGGTGTTTAGATTTTTGAGTTCTTTATATATCCTAGGGATTAGTGCTCTGTCTCGTGTATGTGTGGTAAAAATTTGCTCCCATTCTGTTGGCTTTCTGTTCACCTCACCGATTGTTTATTTTGCTGAGAAGAAGCTTTTTATTTTGAATTCATCCCATTTGTTGATTCTTGATTTTATTTCTTGTGCTATAGAATTCTTATTAAGTTTAAGGTCTGGTATAGTGATGCTACCTGCTTCACTCTTCTTGCTAAGGATAACTAGCTATTCTGGGTCTCTTGGTTTTCCAGATGAATTTCATGACTACTTTTTCTATTTCTATGAGCAATGTTATTGGGATTTTGATTGGAGTTGCATTAAATCTGTATAGTGCTTTTGGTAGTATGGTCATTTTGACAATATTAGACATTTAGGGGTTTGTCACAATATACAGAAATGGTAAGTTTAATTATTATCTATAATATAAATATGTTTGCAAAAAGTTCTACAGTTTTTGATGGTGGACAGAGAACTGGGGGTGAGGTGTAGGATGAGATGGTGAGGGGGTAGAAGGTGAGGATATAGAGTTATTAGATCTTAGAAAGCATGAAAGAAGAATCTAAAGAAGTTGGTGAGTAACAAGAGAAGAGACAGAAAGTGATTTGGGGAGACAAGTGGGAAGACAGTAGAGTACAAAAAACAAAGAAACATAAATATTAAGAAAAGTAAATAATGTAAAAATAGAAGATAAATAATATACAA